AGCAGGGAGGGCTGTTTGCTGCGGCATGCAGCTAAAGACGGTCGCGAGAAAATCAAACATCTGTGGCTGCCAGTACTGACGTGATCGGCCTATTTGGCTACGGCGAGAACGAAAAGAGACCATCGATCGGATCGAAGCTCACTTTGAAATTCCTAAGTAGACGTCACAACTCTGGCTTGCCATGCTATATGCGGTAAAAGCGGGGCCTCATGTTGAAAGGGTTTTGGCAGATTGACCCCTGTGTTGGTTGGGCGGCCATGGTTGCATCTAACTTCATTCTACCGTCCGGTAGAAGGTCAGCCATTGAGGAAGAGTTAGTGATGACAACACACAATTCATCTTACGTATGCCATGAGAACTTAGCCTGTGGCCCATGGGTGGCGTGTAAAAGGGAACTTCATCGAAATCTGAGGGCGATATGGTACTGGACGGTGGGATGCATGATGCACGTTGAGTACGTTCATGCATGCAAGTCATCAACAAGAATGAGGGAAAAAGGATTTTTGAAGGCTGGCGGCAAACCAGTCAGTCACCGTCGGTATGTAGAATGATGAAAAGGACATAATCAGACATTAGCAAACAAAACCTAGGCCAACACAGTGGCCCCTTTACCAACGATTTCAGACACGTAGTCCCTAGCCCACAGGTCGTAATGCACTATCTCCTCAAGATCAGGTCGCAAAACGAGGTCGTCTTGATGCTTCTCGCAAGTCTTCTCGATCACCTTGGCAATGTCCAGATATTGTATCCTGCAGTACAGAAGAAGAGCACAATCAGCACCTTCAAGGTTGTGGCAGGAGAAGAGAACTTAACATGTCGTTGACAGGGCCAATGGACGGTGATAGCAGACCCACACATCTTGAGTAACACGAAGGTCACCGAAGCTTCCAGATCATCGACTTAAGCGATTTATCAAATAACCTTCTACGATCGGCTGCACCGAGTTTGCATTCCTGCCCACCCTATCTGCTCAAGCAGCACCCGCTTGTCCAAGGCCGCACAATACTGCAACGTAAGATTCCATTAGCACTGGAAACTGACAGCAACTACAGACAATCAAGAGCCAGGAACAAGGACGAAGCGCTGTCCTTGTCCACCAGCAACCTTCGACCTTTGAAACCACCGCACAACTCCGCGGGAGGAGCTCTTTGTTCTTTTTATCCAGATCCAAGCCCGCACAGGACTCCTCGAGGCAATGCGTTGCATTACATCACCCATTCTGAAGAAGGACCGTGTGATTGATCTCGCCATCCCCACTCACCTTTCGTCAAGGAACAGCTCGACGGCCCTCTCGTTGGCCGCGCTGAGCACGCCGGTCATGGTGCCGCCCGCCCGGCCTGCGGCGTAGGCGAGCTTCATGGAGGGGTACTTGGCGTGGTCCGGCTTCCTGAACGTGAGGTCGCCCATCTTGATGAAGTCCAGGCGCGGCCACGTCTGCTCGCTGGTCGGGACGCGCTCCGGCCACGAGAGCGTGTACAGGATGGGTAGCCGCATGTCGGGCCACCCCAGCTGGGCCAGCACCGACGAGTCCTGCGCAGATCGACGGGAGAATGTGAGGCAGGCGGGAACGGACCCTGCTCACAATAGGTTTGACTTGACGCAGGTTGGTGAATTGTCACAGGCACAGAGGGAACTCTTTTGAAAAGACTCATGATGGGAACCGAGCTAGTCGGAGAGGAGGCCGATGAGAAGCTTTGCGAGTCGTTCAATTGGCTCTTTTTAGGACAATAACGAGCAAAAGACAAGGCCATCACATTTTTCAAGAATGCGACTTGTCGAAAGCACAATCGACCCACCCCGCTTCGGCAAAGCTGTACTGTAAGACTTACTGTCGTCCAGCACATCAAACTCGACAAGCCTCGATCTACTCTGAAAACCCCATAGAAGGCTGACGAGCCGCTCCTTCTCGTCCTCTTTTCAGAAAGCCCTATCCTCCCGTTTGTCAGCTATTCGTGGCGTGGACAGTATAAAGCCTACGCATGAATACGCTGGTCCCTCACCTGCGTCTCGACCATGGAGTGGATGATGCTCTGCGGGTGGATGACGATCTCGATGTCGTCATAGTCTGCGCCAAACAGGTAGTGCGCCTCGATGACCTCCAGGCCCTTGTTCATGAGCGTCGCCGAGTCGACCGTGATCTTCTTGCCCATGCTCCAGTTGGGGTGCTTGATCGCGTCCTCCACGCGCACCGTCGCCAGCTTCTCCACGGGCCAGTCCCTGCAAGCAGATCGCTCTATTTGTAGTGCTATTTCTTTTCGGGTCTGTTTGTAGTGCTCTTTGTTTTCAGCGAAGTATTCTGTACCCTACGTGTCCCAGAGACGACAATCTCGAGCTTGGGGCTACACTTCTGAAGTGTCTCCCGGTTCAGAAGACCTTGAAGGCGACGCTTTTAGCAGGAGCCTGCAAAACTTCTGCCGAGTATGGTGTTCGTTTCGGCTAACGGACTCCACCACTTATCGCTCTGCTCACACGACGAGGGCTGCTTGCATGCCAGGATATAAAGAGCTCTGCCGCGGGGACCCGGCCCAGTGAAGGGGCCTAGTACGGCCCTGCCCTTCAAGCAGACCAGCGTTTGGTATGTCAAATCAAATCAACGAACGGCTGTTCAAAGCTAGATCCGCTTTCGCAAGTGCCAACGGGGCACACCCTCGGAATGTCGACGGGACCACTGGAGCAACAGAGGATCAAGGTCAACGAAAGCCAGGCTAACCTGAAGGCACCTCCCGAAGCAGTCAGGATAATCCGACGTAGGCCGCCCTCTGGAAGGCCTTGTATGCACTGCAGGAATAAGGGGTGTCAAGATCTCACGTTGAAATCCAGCAAAGTTCACAAAGCCAGGCAGCACACGCAACTGCACTTCCGGCATTCAGCCCTAACGGCTTGCCACCGGCTCTCGAGTCTTCTCCAAAGCGATACCAAGCAGCCCGGCGAATTGTGCGCCGCTGTCCAAGAGCTCATCACTACAAAGCTCTCACCTGGAAGAGTGCAGAGTGCTCTGAGTCTGCGGGCAGGATGTTGACCCCATACTTCCTAGCGAGCGGCAACACGTAGGGCGCCCCAGCGATCAGCGTTTCCTTGTTCGCTAAGGCAATGTCCTTCCCGGCCTCAATAGCAGCTACCGTCGGCTTGAGCCCCGCACACCCCACGATCCCTGTCACCACCGTGACAGCATCCTTGTGCCGGGCAACCTGGCACACACAATCGCAGAATAGTCAGTCACCATTCCTGATGGCCATACATGGTGTAACTCAATCTGGCTTTGCCCTTCTTGTCTCTTGAGCTTGAGGGCCATGCGCATCCGCACATTCCATCTGCATTACAACGCTAAACGCGCTTGCATCTGGCTAGAGCAAGACTTTCGGCTTACCTCCACGGTGCCCTGCTCCCCAGTCATGATCTCCGGTTGAGGCTGCACGTCTTTGATCAGCTCCTTCAACTCAGGGACCATGGCCGCATCTCGGATGGCCACCAGGCTAGGCTTGAATTCACGCACCTGCGAAGACAGACACAGATTTTGACAATGAGGGTTTGCCAGCACAGTTACAAGATGAAATGGGCATCAAACTGTCCTGTCATGATACAGCAGGGATCTGACCATCTCATTTTTGTTCAAAGGGGCTGCCAAATTACTGCCGAATCGGTGGCTTAGATCGAGTCCGCTCTTCTGCTGCTAGAACGATTATGAGAACGTCAGGTCAGAGGCAAATCAGAGCTTTGACATGAATGACGAGAGTGTCAAGTCCGCACGTGCGCCTCCTGCAATCTCGATTGCCTTTGTCAGAATGCAGGCGGTCTTACAAAGTAATGCAAGCATAAGTGCAAATCAGCGTCCCGTCTGATGAGCCCTAACCTACCTGGACAAGAAGTGGTTCTTCTATAGCACAAGGAGAACAGCACTAGGGGATTGCGACTGATCTAGGGGCTTGACAACTTTGACCTGGCCACATATAGTGACGCACCTGTTCAGCGAGCAGGGTGACGTTGGACCCTGCTGCAATTGCTACTACCTTGAATTTGTCGGGGTGCTCCCGAGCGATGTCCAGGGTCTGCAAGAACGGAGAAAGCTCAATCATTCCCAAGTCTTGGCAAACGAGGTAACTCCACAGATTGTACACAATATAGCTGTACTTATGCACAAAGCAATGATGCAGGAAGCTGGAGAACCTAAACAGGCGCCTGGCTACAGGACAGGATATGCGTCTTGGCCTCAAAATGCATGTATCAACATCTACATGTAGGTCTCTTACAACGTCTATGCCAGGGAGGTCAACGTTTCCCTGGAGGCAGGTCGCTGTTGCAGACCACTCTTTATGGTCGATGGCTGACCTGCGTTCCAATTGAGCCGGTGGAGCCGACAAGCGAGATTGGCTTGGGGCCCTGTGTTTCCCAGTTCCAGGGGTTGTGAGGAGCGGTCGCCCTGCCGGGCCACGCTGGGGGGACGGTGTTAGAGGCGCCATTTGCGGAACCGTTGGAGCCGGCACAGCGGGCCCCAACAGAGGGGGGCACAGGGAGGTCCCTTCTGTAGACCCCTGCAGATAGCAGGGCCGTCAGAGTCTGAGAAGCGGGGTGTTGTCCCAACAGCAACTCGTGCTGGACAGATGTCATGGCCTTTATGCAGTAAGAGCGATCGTCTTTTGGGCAGCAGAATCTGGGATGAGCTTCAATATTCTCCGCTCATTGCCCTCAATAGAGATGCTCTTGAACGACTTATATGCATAGCCAGAACCATTCTGGATTATGCATCTGGATGTGAGCAAAACAGCGTAAGCGGCCTGAGTATGCTCACGGCTGTATGGACTGTGAAGTGAAAGATGTGGTTAAATGTAGTTGGGACATACGTTCAGGGCCGCTTCTGCACTTCAAAAGCTAGCCGCTTCTGCACTTCAAAAGCCTAGCCCGTCACGGAGCACAGAAGGGTCAATGAAAGCGATCAATTTAATTTGTTTGATCGCAATGAAAACCAATGGACAATGAGTTCCCAACCAGAACTTGTAGTACGTCAGTGCTTACCTCTTGGTGGGGCGCCCAGACTGGTTGCGGACAACGAGTTCCTAACGTCGCTCCTCAAAAACTCAGACTGCAACTGTAAACAGGGAAGCGAACTTATACAGTCAGCTTTAGTGGGAAGCTTGAGTGCCTCCTGTCCTGTCTTGCCTGAAAGGGTGCTGAAGTACACCACATTACAATGGGTGCCATTCTGCCCGTATCGGGAGGCATTGTCCTTGTCCCAAGGGTTCTTCACGACCAGCATTCAGTTGCTAATCAAGTAATGAGACCTTGCATTGGATCTTTCAGCGGCTCATACGAGCCGGTTCTCTCAACACCTTAAGGTGTAGATATGCATTGGAACCAATGGCCAGCCTTGCAACCAAAAGACTAGGCAGTCCAGTGCTTCCTCACAGCACGTTGTGGCCACATTGCACATTCCTGGCCCGATGAACGTACTCACCGAACCTGTGTGTCCTGAAAAAAGCTGCTGAGGACCAGATAACACGTCCTGCCTAGCGAAAGGAGCAGCAATGTTACCCACACAGCGGCTGACGGCAATCTGCGCCATTTCTAAACTTCTTCGAGGCTACTGCAGCGCTAGCAAGCAACAGAATCTGCGCTTGAGCCCAGATTCTGTGTCTATCCGCCAGAAGCGTTCTGAGAACGACTGCTCAAACAGGCCCCATCATGCTGCATGTTAGTACCTCTAGGTCATACTGCCCCCAGCGTTCTGGACCCTGGTGGTTGGAGAGCCTTTACCGCCCGCTGAAGCGGCCATTAACGGCCCCCTACCGTCGAACATAGGCCAATGATACCTGATCTGAACAGCGGGGATGGCATTCGACGGTGGTCCGATCCTCGTGACACGAAACCCATGGGTTAAATTAGGGTTTCTTCCTGCCGCAGGATTGCCTCAGGCGCCCTCAGGCTCAGGCGCCCGCCCGGGCGGCCACCTGGAGCCTGTGGAGGCGCCCGGGCGGCCACCTGGAGGCGCAAATTGCTTTCTGACTTTCAAGTTCAAGATCAACCTGAGGCTGGAGCTATCCCAAGAACTCTGCCGTTGGCCTGCAGGGCGATCTGCCAGCTATTTCATTGCTGCCAGAGTCTGCTGCACGTCCATTGAGACCCCATCATACGTCACAGGCTGCAGACTTGCTCGTCTTCGTTCCGTTTGTCCGCAGCTCATCTTGGATTAGCTTTTTGTGTGCCTAAAGTTCTTCTGAAAGATTCCAAGTCTAGCTTGTAGTTCCAATTGATTGAGGGAAGTGTGCAATGCAAGCTTTACGGGCTAGGTCGCTGTCGGCGTTACGATTGCGGGCTGGCCCTCCTGTTGCAGCTGGGAAAAAAGGAGGTAAAAAGGCTGCCACTGCAGGTGAGACCAACTTCTGGGCCAGCGGTCAAACGTGAAGTTCTGAAGAATGCTGATGGTAGCACTTGTTGTCTCCCGCCTCCAGAACTCGATTAGATGTTGTATGCAAGTTCGTCTTTCTAGCCCAGGCTTGAATCAGGCTTGAACAACTCTGTGCTTACTGGCACCATCACATGGTGGAAAGTGACCATGACGTGGAACGCATCCACCGTGGCTGGCGCGCTCAGAAAGCCGGTGGTGAGGTCGACCCGGTGAACAGAGACAAATTTGAAAGGACTTGTGTTCTCCGATTGCTGGTGATTTTACCACCACTGATCGAATGATGCATCGATTGGCTATTCCCAGAACCTTCTGGCGGACCGAAAGAGAACTCGCTGGCCACGGGGAGGACCATAGGTGCAAATATACACAAAGAGGGGAGCGATCCACCACATAAACCAGACAGGTAGGGAAAGTGGGTTGTCTCTGGTAATAGAACTACTGTCAAATTGGACATCGGCGACCCGCTTCAGGTGTTTTCCTTTAGAAGTTCATTGCTGTCAATAAGACTGACTCGTTCCTGCAAGACTTGACGGGGCAAGGTTATTGTATCGCTCTCTTCGTGCCTTCAACTGGATGGGACAGCTGGACTCCAGACTCTCTTGAGAACTCGGGTTTGTGCCCTTTTAGGAACGTCTCTGGCGTGTGGATGCCCAGCTGTTTGTGACAGTCGAATTGCGACTTGACGGTCTTGGAATCAGCAAGATATCTCCCCTTTCTGAAGGGTTCGCCAGGCACTGTCTTTAAGGCAGGGAGGTCAAGATCCTACAAAGTCTCCATCTGACGTAAACTCGAGCGTCCATGAATCTAGGCTTAGAATTTTGCTCTTGCGCGGGGCAGATTTTACTGTTTCCTTCGGAGTTGCGGAGCAAAAACTGCACTACTTGCCCCCGCCAGTTGCGACACTGGTCAAGCCCCCAATTGAAGGCTGCCACAAGTGACCTGTTTTGCGTCAAAACCAGGATAAACATTCTGGTGGTAGGCCGAGTGACTGTCAAGATGACACATTGCTTTTTGAGAGGGTCTCAGGATCACGTCTTCTTGAAAGATAAATTTTTCCCTTGAAAGATATTTTTTTCCTGCAGTGAGTACCCAGCGTGGGTGTTCAAGCTAACGAATAGAAAACCCCCCCTAAGTGAGCTCCGACGGAAGAAGCCAGAAACGCTGACTGATCAGGAGGTGAGACTACGCGAACAGCGCGTCTGCTTAAGGGCAACTCTATCGCCTCACGATTCTGTTTCCACCCCCCAGTCAAAGGTCTTCCTCATCAATTGCGTTGTGAACAGCGCTTGCCTGTGGAGAAGCAGGGTTGCTTTTTCCAGCGGAGCACCCAGCGACGGTTATCTAAATATTCTTTCACGAAGGGGTATGATGCACCACTATCGCTTCCATTGTGCAGGTTCTGAGACTTCTCAAACTGAGCAACAGACAGAAGATAAAGGAGGCAAACTTTGAAAAGACGCTTCAATAGTTGTATCCCGTTTTCAGTAGGCGCCTCTATCATTGACTGCTTTCTGGCATGCACGCGGTAGGGTGCAACATGGATCACTGTCGAGTTTGCACTTATATTCCTTAGCACCAACTACGTATATGTGCATGCTTGCAATGCCGTGTTTTTCTACAATGTCGTGGTTGAATTGCCATTTGTAAGCAGGAAATCACGTTGGGCATAGCTGTACATATGGTTCAGTCCACATGAAAGGATCGACCGCGCGTCGCGGACTCACAGGGCGCCTGCACTTCAAATTCGACCATGTGTGGTTACCGTTGTTGGGCTATTTAGACGAAGCTGTGTCAAAATAGTCCGCGGGTCAGCCTGCCACTTAATTATAGACATATATATGGAGATCATTATGGCTATTAGTAGATGCACATACATGCCAACGGATGGATGAACTTGGCCGGTATTAAACACGTTTAGTGACGGTCACTTTGAAGTAGATGGCAAGGCTGCATGTATGATGTAATTAAACAGCTAGCTTTGCAAGATGTGCCTCAGTGCGGCATGTCTGACACGACACGTATATATACATGGCCGCCGCGCTACTTCAAACACATGCAAGCCATGACCGTCTCGTGCACCGCCGATCCCTATATGTGACGGTACGTGCGCGCCTGTGATTGGCTTCAATTTGAATTCTGCAATGATGCCGCCCACAGTTTCATACATGATCCTCAAATTCGCACATCATTTTGTAGAGGCGGCTTAGATCGATGTATGACGCGCTGCAACCAGCTGCGTCCATATGGCACAAGCCGGTATGATCAGTATGTGAGTCATCCGATTGTCCATGACAGGAGAAGTGATGTGGAAGAGAGGGCTGGTGTTTCGAATTTGGCGGGCCCAGCCAGATTCGTTCGTGTCTTCGTGTTCTGCACGACTGACAGTGTCCTAGGACGACCAGCTCCTGCATGGCAAATTTGATCAGCTTTGAGTTAACTCGTGGCATGAAGCGCGAGTGCACCATGACTTAAATTGAGCATGTGGCCCGAGCTTCAATTATGCAACACTTGTCAACTTGTAGGTCCGGTACCTTCTCCGGGCAATAACAATGTTAATGACAATGACAATGACAGTGACAGTAATGCAGGAACAGTAACAATAACGTACAATAACAATAACAATAACAATAACAATAACAATAACAATAACAATAACAATAACAATAACAATAACAATAACAATAACAATAACAATAACAATAACAATAACAATAACAATAACAATAACAATAACAATAACAATAACAATAACAATAACAATAACAATAACAATAACAATAACAATAATTCACTTGTCTCTCAAGCCCTTACTCCTCAGTTATCGTATCGAACCCCTCAGTTTTCGTATCAGCAAAGCTCAACACAAGTACAGTCTGCTCTTTTGAAAGCTCAAATTGCCGCCATATTATGTACCTATAATCAGTTCCCTCGAAAGAGGATTAGTAATAAAAAGCCGCTGTACTTTGAACATAAGCCCAAGCCCCCTAAATACTACGTCCAACTCATAACGTTCCTTCGTGGCTCCCTCTTTTTCACATTGACTTCGTACGATGGAGGCTCAGGGGCGCAAGGCTGCTACTTTCTGTAGCTCCCGAACAATTTCTGTTCGTCCGACCACCCTGCTCAGCTGTCATCAGGTAGAAGTCAGCCAGACGCTCGGTCACCAACACGACCGACTGTGACCTCTCAAGCCGCGACTCGTAAAACCTTGCCCCGCTGACGGCTTCTTCCGTTTCTTTGACAGGCGGAAGCGCACCAGAGTCGCTGTCGTTGCTCACATGACGTTGCTTGCGGGGCTTCGGCTCGGAATCCCCCCCAAAGACTCTACCGTGCTCTTTTACAAGCGCACTAAGAGGCCGCGTTTTCGGAGGCAGCGGCAAGCTGGCAGCCCTCCGCAAGCCCTGGCCGGGCATAGTCGCGGCCAGCTGGCCCCCGATCGGAGGAGGACTGAAAAGCCTCGAGGAGCAATTCTTGTCTGCACGCGGCGAAGCCACATTTCCGTGCGCGTCAAACTTCATCCCGCCTGGAAAGACGTTCTCCTCGTAGCTGCCGAGCCGAGCCAACCCAAGCTCGCGCGGAGTGTCGTGGAAGGACTGCGCGGGCGCGGACGCGGCTTTCTGAAGGGTCCGTCGCGGCGGCAGGTCCCGGCAGGGCTGGGCGGAGTGCGGCTGGGAGAGGCCAGGGTAATGCGTCTCGAGGGCTTTGTTGATGACGTCACGAGCGGCTAGAAGAGCCATCAGGTCTGACGAGGGGGCCGGCGACGTCAGCTCGAGGCTGCGGGTGGGGGAGAAGGACGACGCGGTTTGCTGCCGGCCTCTGTAAACACCCCCGTTGTCGAACGTACGATCGTCCTGCACCAGCCTGGGCGAAACCGGACGCGACCTACTAAGCCTCCGTTCCCCTTCGAGAAGCTCCCGAGACGCTTCTACCTGGTTGACCACAGCTTTGACACTGCGGCGCACGCCCGAGGAGAAGCTTGCACGTGGGTGGACGGAGAAGCAGACGGGGCAGAGGCGGCTTGCAGGTTGGGACTGGCTCTCCTTCAGGGAAAAGCGCTGCATGCACGCCAGGTGGCAGAGGTAGCCACAGCTGGCGGCATAGAGGCGCTCACTGCAGCTCATGGGGCAGACGCAGATGGGGCATGTGCCCCCGGAGGAGGAGGACTGCGGGAGTGAGGAATAAGAAAATCTCAGCTAGATTGCCGCAAGGCTTTACTTTTGAGCTGGTTCACGGACGGGACTCGAGGGAGAGACATGGATGGAGCAGTGGTGCAGCAAGGGATCGCAAACAAGAGACTCGTTGCTCCTGCAAGGTTTGTTTCTGGTACCCAGTTCGGAATCACTCCATGATATCAGTTCACAGAAGAAAAGGCCTTTCGGCGGATGTGCAGGAGTCGAGCTTGGGTCCAGAAAATGCCGAGGGCGGCTTCTTGCCACAGGCCAGGCAACAAGCGAAGCGCAGAATTTTGTTAGTAGCACTGCCTCCTGAGAAAGTTCAGGAAACAGATCTAAGACCTTTGGAGCTTTGGCTAGTCTACCCGCAGGCTGTTGCAAACAAAGCTGGTACCACTAGAGCTCAAGAGCTCAAGCAATCTTCCACCGTCTGAACTTCTTCCCAGCTGAAATGACCGTCAAAGTACGGTGAGTTGACTGACAAGTTCAGCAGTCGAAGGTGTAAGCGTCCGCAAGAATCACTCACCAACGACTATAACCGAAGCATCTTCAACGTGAGGGAGCAGGTTTGGACACCTTTCCTTGCACTCTCTACATACACCTATTATCTAAAAACGCTTCAACGATGCCAGTCATTCTTTTGGAGATTGGTCAGATAGCATCGAAATCGAGACAGTCTGCACCCTTATGGTGAGCTGATTGTGCTTAAGCCACTCTCTTAGGCAAACCCGTATTCACGATTTTCACCTACTTAACAGGATCACTTCCTAGTGTGACAGCAATCTGAATGTCATTCGGATCTTGGACCCTTCCATTTCCTTAACTCCAATCAAAACGGTACTATATCCTGACTCTTTCCAACCTTTCTACTGCCTGATCAGCTCCACAATTGCAATCATTCTTGCCGCCTGGTTTGACTCTGATGGCTTATAACTGATCCGAAATCACCCGAAGAAACCAGAACTGCTCTAGTAGCACGTGCTACTAGGTCCCAACTTCTGCTCACCAGCTCCTCAGCGCCACCGGCACCCGCATCCAGATCAGCTCGGACAGTCCGGCGCAAGCGCGGAGTCTCCGTGCCCACTCCTTTGCTCCCACCATGCACGGGTCCGCTTTTGGAACCGTGCTTGTCGCTCTGCGCATCCTTGATTATGGCAGTTGACCTTAGAAGCATCATGAGCAAGCTGGTCTCAAAAGTCTGCAGCTCTTTGGCATCAGGAAAGTGGCCTCCATGAAACCATGCGTCTTCCCTAAGAGCGCGTAATGGGTGATGGACAGGTTACAGCTGGACTGAGGAAATAAGGGGCTACAGCGAGCGACCAGAGGGGTTTGGCGCCACATTGAGGACCAGGCAGTGGCTGCTTGGGCCTCTTATTTCAAACCAATCTGACAGGGCCCAGACTCAGAGTCCATCCCATCGTGGCCCACTCAAGAACATCAGAACGTCTACCAGTAACAGGCAAACAGCACCAGCGGGCTACATTGGCTTTGCTGTTATTAAACGTCCTCGCGAATCGATCAGATCTCCTAATTAAACCCAATGCCTGAAGTGATGCGCGCCTTGCAGCTCAGCAAAGGCTGCTTCATTGCTGCCGTCCGTGACTTGAAGGTGGACCATGGCAAAAGAGGGATTTCATCTGAAACGTTTCCAGAATGTTCAGAGGTGTAATTAAGTTTTCTGTGGGGCCCCTGTGGGGCATACTTGAAGTTTAAAGTCACTGGCTAATTAGCGACAATGCACCCTTTGTCATCTCCTTATATCTACAAATTCGCACTACGCCCTTAAAGATTGTGTTGTCCTCCTACCTTGCTTCGGGCTTGCTTCATGCGATGGCACAACAACAGGGCTCAGCGGGTTGGGTCAACTGTTTGCCAATGCCAATGGCCATGGCCTCAGATACATGCGCATATCTAGTTGGAACACCTAGGTAGGTTGTATGCAGCTGAGTGGACTGATCGGCCCACGCAATCCACTCTGAGAGCCACCAAGCAATCGAAGTGATCAGGTAGGTACGCTATACCGGTAGCTTAGACTATCTGCAGTATCTGGAGCCAATTCTGAAGGCAGTGACTCTGTCAGTGACTCAATAATCTAGTGCTACAAACCAGTACGGCTTCGGTCCTTGTGTTCAGCTGTGGGGCATGCCGCATGTGCCACATGGAAGGCCTCAAACCAATAAGCTGGTCTGCGCCCACAATGCACATGCTTGGCAGCGAGGTCCGAGGACTGTCGGCTTCTGCGTTTCAACAGTATTCAACTTCTACCGGAAACGCGCGGCCCTCTGGGACCCCCGGGCCGCCGGTCCGCGCCCCGGCCCGCCCAACGCCGAGAACCGAGGGCGTTCAATGTTTTGCTTGAATTGCCGACGCGACTTCGGGGGGTACCTTCCGCACGCAAAAGTGGTCCCGTGCGACGATCGAATCTTCATCGCAGAATTAGCGCGTCGCATGACCATTGACACTGGCCAACACCGGATGTTTTTGCTGACGTATGACCGTACGAGTCGGCGAATTGGAAACAGACGGTACCGCTGCGACCCCCGGATGTCAGATGACCCTGACGACGGGATCATGATGGATCACGAGTCACGACTCACCGAGCGGCGAGGACGACACACTGCACACTGCAGTGCACAGTGCCCACTGCCGCACTGCGCACTACGGATCCATCACCGGTTTACCGGCTGTACCCGGCTCAAGCCTCAGCCAGTAGACCCGACTCGTCACCCGACCTCACCGACCGGATTGTCAGGTCAGCCTGGGTTAGCCCAGGCGGACCGCAGAACCGCAGAATAGCTGGGGGACGACCAAGAATCGCAGCGCTGCCGTCCAGATTTTGACGTCAAAAAATAAACGCTCAGGATCTTTCGTTTATTCTCAGTTAGGCCCGGTTTGTCCAAACCCTACTATCAGAACCTGTCCTGCCAAAGTTTGCGACCCAGTAGCTAACTTTGCAGGCTGGAGTCATTATGTTCAGATCGGACGGTAGCGCTGCGATTTCGTCCATCGCGAAGTTCTGCGGTCCGCCTGGGAGTGGGGCCCGGGGCGTTGGGTCCCGACACAGTTTAGGAATAGTAAGCTTTAGGAATAGTAAGCTGACCACTGACCAGCCTGGGACGGGTAGGGTTAGTTTGGGGGTTAGGGTGGGTACGGGTGCGGAGCGGGTGTTTTATTAAGGTTAGGGTTTTTGGTGTTACTCGGAGCTTACTATTATCTTTGCTTACTATTATCTTTCTTGAGAGTTTAATCTTTGATGGCATGTCGCGACATTTCAAAATTCCGATGGTCGTTCACGTGGTGGAAGTTGGAACTGCCTGTCGTATCATTTAGTAATGCGGAGGCATGGAAATCACGTGTTGCACATTCGGTGAATCGACGGCCTCAAACTTACGCGAGCATCGTCGACGGTCCAGGCAACGGTCCAATATGTGATTCGAATTTGCATTGTGGAGAGTTGCGCTCCGAGTCCTTGCTCATGGATTTGCTCGTTCCGCAACAGCCTGGTTCAAAGTTCAGCCACAGAGGGACATTGCAAGGACGCATTCGATACCCGGCTCAGGAAAGAGCAAAGGGGGATGGCCTGCTAGCTCTTCGAAAGTTGCGGTGCTCTGGGGACTGTTTCATTCACTGTTGGGGCCACAGCCAGAGCGGCTTCAAGGGCGAGGAAAAAGCGCGGGGGTCTAGCTCCCTCCAATGTGTAAACAGGGGCAGTCACCTTATGTTCGTTACTGTCTTCCCACAGGGGGTTGGACATTTCGAGAAGCACGCATGCGCGAGTTGGTTGGCAAGACACTGTCAACCATTGATCAATAGCGCACCGCAAGCAAAAAGTAGCCTTATAGTCTCTTGAAAACAAGCTTGAAAAACTAGAGAGTGAAAAGCAGCTGGATCAAGGATGCCGTCCCCGATGGTATACTTACGCCCACTCCTGCTTTTGGGGCTCGCACTCAGCTGGGGCCGTGCAGAGGGCCAGACACTCTCTGGCGATCGTAAGTCTTCCAACAGCAATGGAGCCCAATGTATAGGGGCCTGAATGGATCAGCATAATGGAAATTTCTGTTTTGCTGTTTCGTCTGCCCGGGCCCAGCCAAAAGCTGAGGCAACTGATAGTGGGCCTCTTGCTTTTGCCGACAAGGGTATCAGAATCTACTCATGTGCAATGGATGAGGATAAACATTAATTACCAGAGCGTTGCCGGGGTTATGGTTTTCTTGTGGTCAAGCCGACGTCACAGGCCATGGGGCAGTATTACGACACTTGTCGAATCACTGACCTACACATTGTCGCAAGTGGTACAACAAAGCTGGAAACGCCTGTCCAGTCCCTTGGTCAATCCTGGGCACAGCTCGTTGCAAGCTTATTTTTCTAACCCAGCTTCTAAGTGCAACCTCAACCAGATGTACCAAGGCTCTGATTGCCACATCACCTAATCAGAAACTCCTGGCTGCTTCACAGGCTCTTCATGGTGAGCTATTTTTGATTCCGCCGCCAAGTCGCTTGCCGCTGACTGTCCATGCTTTGCTGAGTGCAGTGGCTGCGCTCCTGTCTCTCCAAGCATCGTTCGCCCCAAACCCAATCTTTGCGTCCTGGACCGGGATCGATCCGTGCGGGTCCCGATGGAAGGGAGTCTTCTGCGCCAACGCGTCCGTCCTGCGGCTGTGAGTCCTTCGTGCTGCGGGCCAGATGGAATTCTGTCCCCCTGAAAACGCAGTCGTTTGTCTCAATCAGTGGCCAAGTCGACTGGTTTTCTGATGACGGGTCTCTATTAGCGGTTTTGCAAGCTGCAGGCCAATGGGCCCCTCTGGCGGACTTCCTTCAAGGCTAGTCGACGGCCCCGCTGCGCTTTGTCCTGATCCTTACTAGGCAGCAGTATAGGAGTGGCCCTTCGGTATTTGTGTGCAAAGCTAGCAAAAGATGGTGCAAGCATGCTCTTCTTGCACTTCCACCTGATTCAGGTCAGGGCACTGACGCCGTGCTGCTCTTGCCTGGACCCCCAGAGACCTGAGCAAGGCCGGGCTGTATGGCATCCTCACTCCGCAGCTGGGCAACCTCGTCAACATGGAAGAGCTGTGAGTGCATTCTAGGTCCGCTTCTGAGGACGCTGTCTTTCAGGTGTCAAACGCTGAAGTTGCAGCACAGCCTGCCTTGATTCCCGGTGGTTCTGCAGCTCTGGTTTGGACACCTGTTCCCGTAAGTTGGAAACGTTAGTTGTGGCTATTCCTGGTCTCAAAACTAAGTAAGAGCAAGCACCAGGTACCCATGCTTGTCTTCATTCTCTGTTTTGAGGCATGCCGCACCATTCATACCCGATCCGTGCTGAGGGATACCGCCTGATTGCGTCGGGCTTTCCTGCAGGTACTTGAATGACAACAACATTACGGGGACCATTCCTCCGGAGCTGGGCAACATGACGGACATGGTCCACCTGTGAGCACCTGATCTGAGTAACCCGACGCTCACTGTATAAGCTATAGATCGTTCCTTGGGCAAAGGAAACAAAATGTACCAAGTGTGTAGGCTCCTCACATGGCTGCAAAGTGGCAGCCCCGCCATGTGGGCAGATGGGTGGAGGGCCGGACATGCACAATGTCTGCCAGAAAATTGAGATCCGATTTGCAACCGTTTGTGATTTTGTAAGAGTTGCGGGCTTCTTAAACTTAAGGGCAGAGCTCTGTGTCGTGCATACAGTTGATCGGTTCTCTCCTCACTTTTTCTTTGCCGCAGATGGCTCCACGACAACCAGCTGACGGGGACCATTCCTCCGGAGCTAGGCAACATGAAGCACCTCCAAGATCTGTGAGGTCCTTCCCACTTTCTTGACATGCTCCTGGCTGACAGCTATACCATCATTCCTTGTGTAGAGTGACGATTCATTTGCTGACTCCTTGGCCAATCCTGTCTGCCTCGCTTCTGGGGAAAGGAACTGGAGTTGCCGGATGTTTGAGAGGGCTTTTGAGATCGGCCAAACAACTGAAGTAACGACATTCGCTTGCAGGACGCTGAACAGGAACAACTTGACGGGGAACGTGCCCGCCACGCTCAGCAACGTCACCAACCTCAGGTGAGTGGTCGGACCTTCTTTTAGCTTGTTGCTAAGTGCTGTGATTTGAGGTAGGGGCAAGCATAATGAGTGCATCAGGGTCCTTGGCTCTTTGGAGCTTTGGGGAGGTGGGATCAATCCTATAAACATGCTTGCACCCTCAGCCGTGGAAATTTGTGCAACACCCTCTCCATGCCCAATTTTTCCAAACCCTCTCGGTTTGGAATCAGAGATTGCAGGTAAGTGTTGATTCTTTGTCATGTACTGTTGATTCCTTGCTTGGCCCCCTCTTTCGGTTTTCAACTCTGTACCTGAACGTAGCAACATGTTAGCCAGCTCGCTGTTCAATTCAATCAGCACTCACTGACCTTGTCCCGCACCCCTGCCCCTTTGCAGCGTCTCCAACAACCGGCTGTGCAGCGAGACCGTCGGCAATACGTGCACAAGCCCACCCTCCGTCTCTGATTCCCCCACCCCGGCACAGATCCTCATTGGCCTGCTAAAGAACCCCCCCGTCGCGACTATGCCGCCTCCTGTTGCCACTCCGACCCTCCCGCTGGCAATCCCCCCAACCCCGGTGGTTAACCTAACCCTCCCGGTTAACACCACCGCAACGGTGGCAAACCAGAGCATGCCGGTGCTAAACGCCACAGCACCGAGCATCGCCTTCGCCCCTGCTCCATTCATGCCGATATCCGCACGGGTGAATACCTCTAATGTCGTCAACTCCTCTTCAGCGGCAGTAATGAATCCCCTGGCAAAGGGGAACGCGACATGCGGTGGGTGTTACCCGTCGAATACGACGCTAGGGCTGGATAACTGCACGTGCGTGCTGCCCAACGTGTACTTCCTCCAGTTCAGCGAACCGGTGCTGGCAGACGTCCAGGCCAACAGCAGCCTGCAGAACACGCTGGTAGACACGCTGGCATTCAAACTTGGACTGCAGAGGGCGCAGGTCCGGGTCGTCGACACGCGGGGGCCGCAAGTGCTCGCTGCAATCCAGGTGAGTCACGCGCCCGAAGTTGGGCGCGAAAGTCGTGGCATTGAAACGGCGCTGTTGACTGAAGCTTTCAAGGAAGATGAGCATACGACCATGCGAGATAGTTTTCTCGGATCTTGCTTTGTGCGCCGTGTATGCTTACGTTGCTTTTGAATGAGGAGAATATCGTTCGGAGAGTCCTGCTACCTACCTTCTTCTTTGACAGTCTTGTTTTCATGTCAAGCAAAACAATTCTCAATCGCTCACTGCCTGCAGTGAGAAAACCTTTAATGACAACCCAAGTGACTAGTCGATGAACTGCCAGGCGTTTTTGCGGGCAACTTCATCTAGCTGTCGCTCTGGCCCGCTATTCTCACAACCTCGCCGCAAACGGGCATCTTTCTGGCACGATCGCTGCAGTAAGCGTAAACCAAGTCGGTGTCGAATTGCCGCAGATTTTGCCCCTGGCGGGCCTGCACCTGGACCTCGACCAGTCGGCCTTCCTGACAACGCGACTGGCAACCAACGCCGTCAACTTCACTGCGCCCTTCACGCCCTACCGCTTCCTCAGTAAGTGCCACCGCCAACGCGCAGGTTATCAAGGCTCTGCCAATTCACCAGTGTGTTTACCTCATCGAAGATGATTCACAAGTGGTACAAGAGGCAGTGAGGTCGGGAAGGCGCGAGAGGCTTGGCGCGTTCGAATCGGTAGTAAAGGCGATGACTGTAAGTGTCGAAGTTAGCAATGTGACACTGGGGCGCCCGTGCGCAAACACTCCTCCCCCTTTTATCGAAACTGAGCATTGAACCCGTCTACCTTATGGTGCTGCATGTCAAGCCGTTGGAAAGGGTTGTTTTAAGGTGGCGCGTTCTCAACCGACCCCTCTTTTCGCTCGCAGCCCCGTTGAACCCGCTCCATCCATTCCCCATCTCGACCACCAGCAGCAAGAACGACGGCGTGCTGATCGCCGTCTTCTTCGGCCTCATCTACCCGCTCCTAGTTCTCGCCGGCACCGTCGGTTATCTGTGCCTCTGGCGAAAGGGCGGACGCGACCGGCCGGTCCGTCGGGACATGGAGCGAGGCGAGCTGACGGAAGCAGAGAAAGATGGTAAGGACCTCCCGCTCAGACAGCGTGTGTCTCGGCATGGAGTATCCACAAGCTGCCTCTTGACATCAATATGCGTAATTGTACAGCCGATGTGAGCCAACGAGCATCTTTATACGCAGCCCGCTTTCCGCACCACAATTGGCACGTCACGCTAGAATGACGGCTCTCCAGACGAATGATAAACTGTCTATTCCACACCCATTTAAAATCTCATTGAGAGGACGCGAGCATCTACTCATGGGATTGTCAAATAGTCCTTGAAAACAGTCCCCCGTTCACTTCTCCCCACCAGCCACCCTCTCGAAGTCACACTGCTCAGCTCAATACACCCACCCACTTGAGCTCCAAACCCCAAGGTCCTCACCTTTGTCCAATGCGTTCCCCCACTCTTTTGTGCAGCGTGGCAGCAGCGCAACTCTGGCATCATCCGCAGCAGCTCCCTCGAGGGCTCCGGCGGCGGCAGCGGCACCAACCCCTTCCGCGAGCTCAACGCAAACCGGCAGGTCTCCAAACCGGCCGGATTCAAGAAGCCCGCCCCGCCCGCGTTTTCCGCCGACACCGAGAACGCGAGCGAGCGCGATCACTGGGGCGGGCAGTGGGACCGGGTGCGGCCCCAGGTGCGGCAGTACACTCTGGCGTACCTGCAGCAGGCGACCGGGAACTTCTCCCGGGGGATCGGGGAGGGCAACCTCGCCAAAGTGTTTGTGGTGAGTGCTCGCGGGCGGGGAGAAAAGGGGGTGGCACTTGGGCTGTCAAAAGGTTCGATGCGGCATGGTGATACGTGGCGCAAGGAAACCGGCCAGAGTCTCAGAGCTTAAGGAGTTTTCTCTACGTTCCTGCTTAGAAGTCAAGCCTGCAGGGCAGATGCGGGAGGTCGTAGGACATTCTCGACACGGCCAAACATGAGACAAGCTTGAAAAACACTTGCGAAATTGCTCCTGGGTCCTTTCTGACTGCGCTCTCTGATCTCTTTATTTTTTCGTTCTTCGTCACTCCAGGGCCGCATTGAAGGTGACGTGCCAGTGGCGGTGTCGTGCCTGCGCAACGGCGCCGTGGTGCGGGCCAAGGACTTCAGCGCCCACGTGGCGATGCTGAGCAGCATGGCGTCGCCGCACCTAGTTGCGCTGCTGGGCTACTGCTGCGAGGACGCGCACAAGATCCTCGTCCACGAGCTGTGCATCAACGGCAGCCTGCACGACCGCCTGCACGGTAGCGCACTGCCTCCTAGCGCTTGCTTTCGCGCCACGTGGAAGCCTATTTCTTGCGCTTTCGCCCAGCGCAACTGATTTCTCCCGCTGGATCTCACTGGCAAGGAGGTTCGGTAGATCTCGGTCGTAGCATGTTCTTGCTGTCACTGAACGGGAGTGCTGGTCTGTTCTTGGCGACACTGTTTTGCTCGCACTAGCCACCTGCTTTTTTAGTTTTCTTGAAACAGAATAGACAACACGCGACCCCTGCTCGTAGTGTCTGATTATTCCCCGCTGTGGAAGTGCTGCGGCAGTTTGATCTCGAATGCCTCATAATTGCCGGGACGCAGGCTATCCGCCCTCGCACTGCTTTCAGACCGCATTCAGCAGTTAAAAAATCTGACAATCGTAGCTTCTTCGGGTTGTATGCAGGTCAGACCGGTTCGCCGCCTCTGGACTGGAGCAAGCGCCTGCGCGTCGCCCGGGGTGCTGCCCTGGGCCTGGCGTTCCTGCACGAGGGCACCAACACGGCGCTGGTCCACACGGGAATCAAGCCCAGTAACATCCTCGTCGACCAGGACTTCAACGGAAAGGTGGGCGGCACAACTCCCACCGCTTGCATACGCATTTCCTCTCAAGTGGGGACTTCCTTATCTTCAAGAGGCTTTTTGAGGGCAGACGCTCGTGATTCAAAACTGTCGTCGCTTCGATTTTTCTTCCGACCTTTGTCTACAACGTCAACCACCTTAGCTCTCGTATGCATTTCAAGCTTCCAGCTGTCAGTTGTCGACTTAACACCCAGAAGACTTTCTACTTAAGACTTCCCCCTCTACCCATCCACCGCCTCGGCACTTGGCCAACTATTGAAAGTTCATTCCATCTCTCGTGCAGATCGCTGGTTACGGCTCCGCCTACCTAGCGGGCGATCTGGGCGCGAGCGCGCCCGTGCTTGGCAGCTTTGCTTACCACGCTCCGGAGATGACGTCAAGCGGCATCGCTTCGCCCAAGAGTGACGTATTTAGCCTGGGGGTCATCCTGCTGGAGCTGCTCACGGGTCGGCGGCCCGTTGACACCAGCCAGCCCAAGAGGCAGCAGAGTCTGCTCACCTGGGTGAGAATAAGCCCTTTGTTCTGGCAGGAAGAGTTCGAGATTTTTCGAGAACGGAGGGCTTTTGACAGTAAAGGTCGGGGCTTCATATCGCTTGCGAACAGACTATAGAAATGCATTTCCTTGTAAGTCATGCAGTCTCAATCTATCCTGGCGCTGTAAATTGTTCATGAGAGTCTTCCTTTGTCTTGCTTTTCAGTATTTTCTTGTACGACGTCTGAGTGAAGTAATTCGGTTTGCGCTCTCCTCCTGCACGGAGCAGATTTTGCAACGAATTTCGCAAGAGTCTTACTTTGGAGCCACTGACCAATCAGGGAGCCTGACGCTTTCCCTTCTCCTCCGCAGGTCCTCCCGCAGCTGGAGGGCAGCGGCAAGAAGTTCTTCTCCTTCGTGGACCCCGCGCTGAAGCACACCGTGTCGCGCCCCCACCTCGCGGGCCTCGCCGCGCTCGCCAAGCGCTGCCTCGAGGGCGACCCCGCAGACCGCCCCACGGCCGCGGAGGTCGCCCAGCAGCTGGGCACCCTCGGCCTGGACGAGACCGTGGATCTGGAAGCCAGCGTGGGGTCCGTGAGCACCAAAGATTTGCTGCGGCGCGAGGCGAATCGCAGCCCCCTGAGACGGACGATGACGCCCATGGAGAAGGTCCCCGAGGCGATGTCCGAGGTGGACCTCAGCGGGGACGACGGCAGCCGCGCGGTCGCGGGTGAGACGGTTGCACGGGGGTTTGAGATTTGAGGGCCGCGCGGTCCAGGGGTGTGCGGAATGAACGTCAGAAAAAGGATGCGGATGCGAGGTTAATTTCAGAAGAGGATCCGGCTAGAGAATGCTGAGGGAGTAGAACAGGTTGTGTTGGAATGGAAACAGGCATGAGTATGCTTCCTCCAACTAGGCGCCTTGTCGAACATCTGCGACTGTTGTCTGGGTTGCAGTTTGTCAACCTGTCCCGACCTGAATCGACTGTCCGTAGAATCACGTTCAGCTGCAGATGAAAGTGTGTCGCAGCCTCGCACCGAGCGACTTTGCTCTGCCAGCCACGAAACCTGACGTTTATTCCATTCCCTCTTTTTCCTTTCCAACCAGGCCACAAGCACGCCCGCCACGGCAGCCACTCCGGCGGCCGCCAGGCCGGCTCCTACGCGGGCAGCCTTCCCCGTTCCGGTTCTTCCGGTGGGCGGAACGCTCGTCCGGTCAGCCCCGCTCCGGGCCGAGGCCCCGACCGGATTCCGGACCCTGCCAAGCGGAAGCCCGCGCGCCTTGTGTCAAACAGCGGGTCGGGCGCGGGCCTGACTGCGGAGCCGGAGGGCGTGCGCGCGCGCAGCGCCCCGCGGAGGCCGCCGGCCGCCGCCGAGAATCTGTTGGAGGAGCAGCCGTTGACGCCGCCGCCCAACAGGAGCAGGAGCCCATTCGGGTGAGGGGGCACCGTTTCCGTTCCGGTTCATAACCTTTGACTCTTCTTCAGTTGTCGAGAGCAGATTGCAGCTTCGTAAGAGGATGCTCGGTATTAGAGCAAAGTGAGGAGCTTTCAAAAACACACGTAGACCGCCTAGATTCTGATGCTTTTCAACGGCATGGTTGTCTTCTGTCGGTCTCGCTCTCGCAGAAAGGTATGCTTCCTTAATAACCACCAAGATGAGTAAATCTTAGACACCTTCATCCGAATGGAACATGCTCGCCATTTGTTCACCGCTCCAAATTCACTTGTAGACAGAAAGTAACGTGTAGCTCAAACGGCTTCTTTCCAGATGGGGCTCTGCGGCCAGTAGAAACCGGCCCGCCCCTGAGCCGCAGCCCAGCCCTCCCCCGGTTGCTCGTCCCGGTCACAGAAGGGCGACTTCGGGGCAGGAGAACGAGCCCCCTGCTGCCGCCTACCCGGAAAGCAGGAGGCAACCAGGTCACGCGCGAGGCGGGTCTGATATGAACAGATACTAGGGTAAGATCCGCTCCTATATACTGATTGATTGGGCATCTGCGAATGAGAGCAGCCGCCGGCCTTTGTGGGCAACGTGCCAATCTGCTCTTTGCTTAAGGTCGTGACGTCGGTACACCACACAAACACAGAGAAAAAGCAGTAGGGGCTCCGCAACTTTTCAGCGCCTTAGCCGAGTCGCGGGGCCAGCTGAAATCGCCACGCCATGCGAATGTACAAAAACGTCGGTCATCAAATCGAGTGGACTTGCCGGGCGAAACAGAATCATTGATCCTTTTCGAATTCTACTGCAGCCAAGTGCAGTTTTTGATCGCCAAGTTCGGACGTCAGCATCGACTCGACTTGAGATTGGAGGCAGTTCGGAGAGTAAAGCGTCGCTTTTGCTGTGGGCCCTATGACTCGTAGGGCTCCGACTGCAGTTTTTAAGGTAATGACAAGGGGTGCTGCTCGTATACAGCTTCACTGAGACGGAGGCTCGGCTGGTAGTACGTACCGGGGTAATTCAAAAGGACATGCTAGAAGTCAAGAGCATCGACCAATATTGAACGTTCAGCTGCGGCTGAAGTACGGATACGTCACTACTTTTTGAAATCAATCAGAAAGTAGCTCCACTGTTCCTTTACCTGCAAATCTGCATACCGATCGATACATGTGCATCACCTTAGCCTGCATATGCATGCAACTGTGATCCGAAATTCTCAATCAGTCGAGACTAACAGATTCAGTATCTATTATGCACGAGGTCGGCGGGGCCGATAGAGAGCACGGCATCATTGTTTTAGTCAATCAACAAGATCATATAAGATACCTGCGTATGAGCGGGATATTGATCTGCACCATGTACGCCTATGTTATTACCGTATATACTGGGCGCTAGCTATAGGTAGTACTACTCATGATCATATGTATGATCGTTTTCTATGACCAGATCGAAGCTAAAGGTCAAGACTCTAAAGCTCTATAGAGCTAGATCATTATGTCGATCCCAGACTCACTGATGAGCTGAGACATGCACTGACTCATGGCGGCCATGGGTGACTATACTAGGTTTGTGCATGCTGCATGACTTCAAGCTGCCAAAATATATGCGCAATTGCAGCCGCCGCCGCGTTTATGTGCACTGAATGCCATTACGTGTTGCCACTTAGCATGATTCAATGCACCGGGGAGCCGTCGAAGTCGGACTCAGTACCACCCGCGGGGGCCGGGAGCTTAGCACTCATGGTCCGTAAGCTCGATATCTCAGTTTAAGATTCCGGCAGCTTAGTATGCTATGCCATGCAATGACTCGTGTCAATGACGGCACTGGCAGTTATAGAGATTCATGCAGGATGGAATGCATGAAATGGGGGATCGTTACTGTTCGCAAGACCATACCAAGAAGGACTGCAAGCAGTACTGTGCGTCCCACTGCCGGACCCTGAAGCGAGAAGATGGCAGTAATAGATGCAACTGTGCAACATCGATCACGCACATTCGGTTGCGGTTGCACAAACCATCTATGGTAATTGTAGCTTGCAGAAGGTAAAGGTCCCCCGAAGTCCGTCCTCACTGCTTGCTTGGACCGGCTTGTAAAGCATATGCAGTCGCCCCCGCTACATGCTTCGCGGTTATCCGATCCAGTCGAACGAGGAGGAGCAAGTACGCCTTCAGCCGTGGGCCTGTATTTGGGGGAGGACTTCTTGTGAGAAAGTGTTCGGGTAGCGTTTCGCGTGTAAAGCAGGGCCGTTTTCTGTTGCTTGACATGATGATTTGCATACCTTGTCATGAGAAGTGACTCCGAGTTGCGGCAAAATCGGGACTCGGAAGAGCACTGAGTCCGCATGCGCAACAATGGAAAGCCACTCGAGGCACCAGCCGCAGACTGCTTCCTTCGCCATAAGAGACTTCTCTTCAACAGCTACGTTGTGGTGCCGCAGACTTACTGCCCTCTAAGAAACAACCTGGTTCTTCAGCCAGAGAGCAAAGACACGTCCAATGTGAAGACTGCGCTTACCGAGGTTTAGAGCGGCTAGGTCATCTTGCGTGAGCCAATCCGCGCCCGGCCCCGCCCCTTCGCCTTCCTGCTCGCTGAACCGCTTGTCTGTCACGCTGTCGTTGATCTTCTCGACCGCAGCATTCAAATCCTGCAAGGGGACGGTGGTGAGTAGCGTCCTAGTATGTACCACCGGCCAGATCCCAGACAGCCCCGTTTTTGCTTGCGCTCGGTAAAACGAGCAAGGGAAGAATGGATGCTGCCAAATCGTGACTTCCTGTCAGTCACGATCAGACGGCTCTTGCGGAAGCAGTTAGGGTGCTCGAAGCCCAGAAGCCACTCGTTGCAGGATGCAGCTGGACAACATCTCAATTGCTCGAGCTGCCAATATTATATAGTCCAAACCTCGCTTCTTGAAAACCTATGTGCTTTCTTCCATCAATGCGTACGCTTGATCATGTGCACTTACGTGAATCACTAGCAAGAACTTTCTTGCATCTCCTGCGAAGCCCGATTGTCGGGGCTTCACCCATGAGACTGAAAAAATCCGGGATAACAACACTTTCTCTCCGCAGAGCTAGTAGGTTAACGCGTCTTACGTGAAGGGAGACCTGGGCCCGCAAGAAGAAGGGCACCGAGTCGAGCTCGGCCTGAGTCACGGGCTCGGCCAGCGGGAACAGACTGTCGCCCGCAGCTGCTCATGCAGAGGGAATCAGCTTGACTTAGACCAATCACGACGTCGTAGACATCAAGGAGATCAACCACAACGGATTCGAAATCAAGGGGTCCAAGAGAAGAGCTTCTCATGGAACACGTTGTTCAGGATCCCGAACGATCAACCCTGTTCATTGACCAGAGGCCGAAAGAGGGGGCAGATGACGTTGCGCCTTGCAAAGTTACTGCAAGCACGACACTGGCTTTGCTCACCACTTGACGCAAACGGTTTCCTATCCCGCTGTCGGACTGAGATGCCGGGAACAGCTCGCTCGCCCTTCTCGTCTCCTTCCGCTGGTCGAGCGACGATGGGGACATCATCAGTTGCTGACGCCCGGCTGCACATAAGGCAAAGCGTCTGTCACAAAGCGAGAAGACACGAGCATAAGACTAGCACGCCCGAAGCATGCGACTGCGAATCCCTTAGGCGGCCCCTGGATGGAAGTAACGCTGTAACCTTGGTGTCCCCCTTGTGGGGGTCATGACACTCGTAATTTTTCCTCAAGTACACAGACTCACAAGGATCTCTGAGAATCTGGTTAAGGGAGATGTGCCTGTTCGCTATCTGTTTTAATTGAAGCTACTCGAGCGACATGGACCTCAGGTAAGGAGCCAAGTCGCACAACCGGGAGCCAAACCTCAAGGCTTACTAGGAACCTGTGACCAATAAACAACGCAGGTGTCTGACCTGGCTGGATGCGAGGCAGAAGGCCGGGGCGTCTCGAAGGAGCTGGACAAGGTTCGAGGCTCGTGGTGTGGCACAGCAACGGCCTCGCGAAAGTTTGCACCGTTGTTCGAAGTACTGACTGACGGATTGATCCGGGGCGGAGGAGGGGGCGGGTCGTCTCCTCCTGGGAAAAACTTCAATACTTTGTATTCAGTACTGCTTTGCTGGCAGCGAAGCCCCGGGTCATCAAGAGAGACCAGACGTTACAGCCATTCTGTATTGCCATAAGCGAACGGCGTTGTTAAGCTGCAAAGTTTCACGGGCATCGAATGTACAAGGGCGTCTTTGAAGTAGGCAGGAAGCAGGGCCCGAAACAACACTGTGCAGCGCATCGGCTGCACCTGGCAAGGGATCATGACTGGATCCTAGGAGCGGAACTTAAAGCTTTTGTAATCCTTATCGACTTTCGTTAGCGCAACCTGGCTGGCATTGAGAGATCGATTGTTGTATGGAGTTGCTTCCACTGCTCAGCAGCTGAAAGAGATTGAATCCAAGTACAGTAAAAAGGGGTTCCGATCAGGTACTTACGATCATCCCTGATTGCCTCAAGACTCGAATCGGAGAGGCCCAGATCAGCTAGGCTCAGGATCTCGGGGGACCTGGATCACAACGCAAAAGTTCGAGACGGATTCCACCAGACAGCGGCACTTTCAGATTGGAGTGATGCCCAAGAGAGCGTGCAACAGCAGAGCTGGGGTGCTGGACCACACTCTTAGAATCTGGCTTTGGTGACCTGTGCGGATGCATTCCCCGTCAAGTGGCATACGAGATACTCCATTAGTCAGCAGATTCCACATCGTTTAGTGACCAGTGTGTCTCTTCCACTGCCTTTTGAATCACTTGGGCTGCTTTGCCTGTCAGATTTGGAACTTGGATTCAAGGCTGCTCCCTAGCAAGCAGACCCCCGGACGACCATAGCCTCAGACCAACATCACGCACGCTGCTCGATGTTGCAGTGAACGGATCAAACCTCACCCTGGACTGCGTGGAGGAGCCGGCCTTTTAGCCCCTCTCCCCAGAATGTCGCGCCGTAGCTCCAGCGTTGTTTCCTCCACTTTGCTGGGGGATGCAAACTCCTGCCGTGCTTCTTGCTCTCCCATTCCATGTGCCGGGGTGCTTGCATTGCTGGACGGCACGGGGGGCCTCCCGCTGCTGCCACTTGGCCACCGCTCGCTTGGCTGTTGTGGCATGATCTTCTGGTGGGATCCCCAGCTTGGAGTGTGGACATTGTTCAGGCTAGGAAAGGGGGAGGGCTTGGCAAGCTGCTCCTGGTTGGCGTTTGATTCTTCTAGAGGTTCCAGATGGACTGCATGAGAAGACTGCCATCTTTGGACCGACAAGGCTCTGACTCAATGATGACTTCGACGATGATGAACACATGTCGATCTCAAGCATTTTGCAGAAGTGCCTTGGAGCCACTAACGCAGAAGCTTCTGGGATCTAGGCAGAAGCTCGACAATCCAACAACAGCAAAACATGACAAAGTCTTCGAACACGAGAGCCTAACTTCAAACCATCATCTGCGCACAACCTGTCAATTAAGCTTTCTCCTCAATGAACTGAACGCTTTGAAAAGGTGCCAGCTTTACGTTGAGGTCTTACAAGGGTGCGCGATGCTGGCCATCATTGCCCCACCTACCTGGGGTATAGCCATACTGTTCCAAGTGTGCTTCCAGCTGCTTGATTGCACTTTCGTTTTGCAGAAACAGCTCGTTGCAATGCCCCAAAAGTTCTGCCACTGAGATTGTTTCCACTGTTGACGCCTCTAGTGAAGAAACTTCCTCCTCCACGGTCTCAACCTGAGCACTCAGATCTTCCAGAATGCTTGCAAAGTGGCCATCTGCCAACAAGGAAGGAACCGGGTCAACTTTTCCAGGGTCTGACCTTCAAGACCACGATTGGTCTGATTGTAAAATGTATGAAGGCGGCCGGTCTTGTATCCCAAACAATCGAAGCTCATAAGTACTAGGTCCCTCGAATTGATCAGGGCGGGACCAGGGTATGAATTGTTTGCAATAAGCATGGCATGCTGTGCTCAAGTGTTGCTTAGCTGTACGGTATAAGACTGCATCAGATCACATCTTATTCCACCGTGGGTTTCAGTTTGACCCTTTTGACAGCCCGGCCTTGTCTTTCAATCTCCTGACTGAAGCATTGTAAGGGGTTCTCCAGGCTTTTGCAACTGAGATTACAAAGTTGAGTGCCTCGAAAGGAAGTTAAAACCTTTGGTACTGCAATCAATGTGGGTGGTGTGTTCTGCATTGAAGAGAAACTTCAGTGCCACCACTTGCTGCAGATAATCAGAAACTTACCTTCAACATAAGCTTGGCTTTTCTCAGAGACGGCCCGCCTTAAATCTTTGCAGCTTTTCTCTAGTGAATTCGCAAAAACGCGGAAGTCACCACAGAATGCTGAGAGACAAACACCAAGATCAGGCTGCGCCATGATCCTTCAAGTTGAGCCTGACTTGAACGTTGAAATGCAGGTCAAAGACTGAGGGCCCACCTGAGGGGCTTGCTCAGCAGCTCGAGCCTCAAATGCGTGCTGCACTGCCAGTGCTAGGCACCGACACTGATGTCAGTGACAGTGACGCAAGTAGGTAGTACAAAGGACGAAGTTGTAAAAGTGTTCTCAACCGAGTGTTACCTAGGCCGGCACTGTCGGCCACAAGATTGCCGATGATCTTGTCGTCGCGCGTGCGGTAGCGCGTCATCCAAGGTCCATGAACAAAGCACCGGGCGACCCTATGCTACTCTTTCAAACCACCGGGCAGAGACTAACTACAGTAGTATTAACCGAACAGTCACCGCTTCTACAGGTCCTAGTCAATTACCAAACAGGGGTCTGAACAAGCAAACGGAAGTGTCAAGACCGAAGCCTACTAGTGACCGTGTCAGCTCGGAAGCTTTAACCGTGATCAAGCTGACCCTCAGAAACCACCCGGTTGTCTTGCGGTTACCTAGGGGCTGTGCACACTTGGAGGGGGGTGTCGGGGTTTCTCTGGTAAAATGGAGACCCGGGTCTCGAAATGTACATCCGGCATCCCTTTCGGGCTATGCACACTAGTCGGGGTCTCGCTGACGTGTCGGAGACCCGGGTCTCGAAAATTGTCCAAAATCCGAGACCCGGCCCTTTGGCCGGGTTTCGATCGACAGTTGACGTCACGGGGGAACGAAGGACGCGCCAAACGTACTTTTGCGGGCTTCGATCGGTGCGTACACAAACTGTACACGGTTAGGTACACAATGCGTTGAGGGCCGGAAACCCGACATCCCGCAACCCGGTGTGCATAGGGTCTCGGGGTTGCTCCCGAGCTCGGATCCCGGGTCTCCGACAAACGTCAGCAAAACCCCGTTTTTGCCCAAAAACCCCCCTCCCAGGTGTGCATAGCCCCCTAGCCCTTAACCAAGATATTGTAGATCGTCACCGAGGGGAGCAGGGTGCCCGGAGTGTCAAACAGGCTGACGCACCTTGCGCGGAAAAGTAGCATGTGAAGTTGTGAACACTTTTACAACTTCGTTCTTTGACCTTTTTGCGACAGTGACACTGACAGTGATGAGCACTACTACTACTACTAGTGTGGTCGACTTTCTTTCCTCCTCATGCACAATCATATTTGGCGTCAGCTGGACACTGAGAAGGCTGGGGGATCACTGTAACAGCATCTCATCTGCAAACAGCTGAGTAGTTGGAGGTAGCTGCTGGTCAATTGCTGCAAACGGAAGGTTCAAGGCAGTCTACCAGAGGAAGCCTATCTGCTCTGCATTGAGCAGGTGCTTCAGAAAGTCTTTGCTGAAATGTTCAGCATACTGGAGGCATCGGTGGCGTACTGCTTCAAGAGGCTAGTCTGATTGGAGAATCTCTTTGTGCTACGAGTGACTGAGGCCTGCCCTCGATGGCTATTCCAAGGGAGATTGCTGAAAATGCTGTGAGAGTAAGTGGGGATGTGGCGCTACATCCTTCGGACATACCACCACCAAACCCAAACCTTGAGATTTTCAATGCCAAACCCCATCATTCTATGGTCGCGGTGTGACTTTCCTCCATGTGATCTCCTGGGTGAGGTATTTGGTCAGCAGGCACTGTTTTGTGGGAAAATTCTTCAAGTAAGGCATCTCCTTACCACCACATTCAATCAGAAAGGAGCAACATTCTTTCACTCTCTGTGACTTGAGGCTTATGAATTGCATGGTGAGAGTACTCTACTCTATTCGACGAGTGAATGCAAAGGTTGATGCAAATCGCCAGCGACTTGGCTGGCGGCAAGCTTTGCTGAGCCCAGATGCAACATTTGATCGTGCCAGAATCATGCCGGCATTGTTAGGAATAATCAGCTTCTTTTTTACAATCTTTGCTGTGCATGTCAGCAGGCGTCTGGTAGGCCCATAAAGGAGCTCAGTTCTGGTATGAACAAGTTCGTGAGGCCCGAATGATGTGTTCCTATTCTGCAGCTCTACCGAGACTGCCTCCGGATGGCAGATTACTTAGGGAGGAAGGTAGGCAGCGCGAACTCAGCTCTATGCAGCTCTTGACAGAATCGTGTCCTGTATGGTGCGGAGAAGATAGAGACATTGGAAGCTTTCTTCTGCTAATTCCCATGTGCAAACTGGGAGAAGGAAGCACGAGTATCTTGCAGCTTCACTTCTCCCAGTGCTCTGCTCCTCAATGTGGTGCAGCAAGGAAACAGAGCAGTCCTGCGGGAACAAGTACGATTACAATTCAAGAAGAATATGGACGAGAGGGACCCAGACAAGATACAAGCACAAAAGGAAGCGTGAGATCGCTTGCTTTGAGGGCCAATCACATTCGAAGCTTACCTGTACTGTTGTGATTGCTTACTCAATAATCAGGAACATTTATCTTCTTATCATACTAAACATACTCGAGGACTGCATGACTCAACGATCTGATCACAGTGAGCAGTGATGTACGTAGATAGTCTCAAGCTGATGTCTCTGGTCAAACAGTGAGAAGAGATCAGAGCACATCGTAAGGACTGGGCCAGAATGTAAACCATGTCCTTCATCTTCTCCAGGGCTGTTCGGGGTTTATCAAATTACATGGTCTTTGAAGCCACACGGATGGCAAGAGCGGACAGGGGCACTCCTGATGGCTAGTGGCAATTTGACATCACCACATCATCGGAAGCAGCGGGAGTGAACTGAAACCACCACCGTTCAAACTCTGAACTGCATTCAGAATAGTCCTTGCGTGTGTACGTCAGTCAGGCCGCCTGCCACACAAGAGTCCAAACGGTTTGTTCTTTGACACGAAGTTTGAAGGGATAGAGAGATGAAACCAATCATGATCTGCAGACGAACAGGTAGAAGGCTCCGCATATTTTCAGCTATTCCCTTGCGAGATGCAGGCATGTCATGTGAGAGGCTTCATATTGGATACATGATCGGATCCGTGGTTTTAGCAGTGTTGATCGAATGCACACAACTAGGTTAAGGTGCATGTTGCAGAATGCTCGTCAAATCCATTGTGAAGCTGACATGTACCAACATGCGACCTTCGAGTTTGTTGGCTTAAGTTAATAGCTCTAAACTTGTTGCATCCACATGCGAGCCAGGCTTATACTTGATGGATGAGTGCGCAGCTAGACTCCACATGCTGAGTCTGCTAAACACTAGAGCGAGCATCCGAAAATGGACTTAATGGCGCACCAGATCACAAGTTCATCATGTGCAGTTGTAGCCACCATCAAACTGCAACAACGCTTCCCACTGCACATATATGGTGATAATCTTGACCGTCGCCAATATCCTTGGTCCAATCACGCCGCATGTTCGTACACATAGCTAGCATGCACCCAAAATACCGTACCCTTGCGCCGCCACTTGCGAAAAGGATCGAGAATTCCGCGATTGGAATTCTGGCAGGCATCAAAGAAGTCCTATAACCCCTAGCCCCTAGCTTGAATTGCGTCGACATGGGTATGAGGCACCAATATAACAGCGGTCACTGCCGTAATAGTAACATGCATGTGTCTGCATATTGGCCGTATCAAAACTTTCGAGCCCTCATGCTATGTCAAACGGTTAGCCTTTAGAACCCACAAGATTGTGTGCGCAGCTCTCACAAAGAGCTTTCAATCGGTATAAGGAGAGGAGCCACAACAGCAAAGACATTGCCCGCAACATGACGTGTGTCGCAAGCACACTCGAGTGCAGAACCCCTCCGTTCGTCAATTGGAGATGACTGGCCTTTGTTCTATTAACACACGGATAAAAATCGTTCTCGTTGCAACAAGTAACAACTGCACAAGCCAAGTGACAAAGCGTGTCAGGCGTCCCAGTGACCATTGTTCTGACCTGCAAGAAAAGGACAGAGCCTTCAAAGATTGCAAGCTCGCGCGGTTCAGTAAAATGGAGGTTATCGCACAAGAAAATCTCTGTTTCTCACAGTTTACCGCATCAGCATAACAGGCGCCGAGCGTTACAAGCCGCTACTACCAAAGCTTACCTTTTGTCTCAAGACTCATACGATTGCGTTCGCCGCACTTGCAATCCTGGGCCACAAGTCTGCGCACTCCTTTCCGATTGGTCCAGTGATAGCAGAACCTGCAAAGTCCAAATCCATTTTATGTGGGTTTACAACAGGTAGACCCACTAATTTCAAAAGCACTGGACAATGAAACGAACGAGAATGACAAACAAGGCACAAGGCCCGGACAGACTGCCTAGCAGAAAGTCGATAAACGAGTGGTGAGACATTGTGGAAAGGTTCTGGCAGATGAAGGCTCTCAGCGCTGTTGAGCCGATTGTAATCAAGCAGGCGACCAAACCTGCTCAGGCTGTTGGGACACAGTCAATCATCATTGAGCTCACTCATGCTGCCAGACACAACCAGAAGCAACACCAGTTTTGTTGCGAATAGCATTCTCCAAAGACCCCTTCCGCGATTCTGAGTCGGCGCACACATACGTCACATGCTAAGGACTATCCTTGTCAACAGCACATGAATCTCAGCTGACAATGCAGTTTTGAAGAGTACTCACCCTTCATTTCACCCTTTGGGTTGACGATGACCCCCGCGTTGTCTGCACGTAAAAGAAATCAGTCAGCAAGTAATCGAGTCGCAAAGCATGAGCCAGTTACTAACTTCCCATGCAAAATGAACTGTAAGGTGCAAAGATGATTGGCTGCGACACACTCCCGGCCGAAAACGCAAGGGAAAATCTTGGGGGTCAGAATCGAGTCAGGCAGGCCCAACTGTGACGGGCTCCATACAGAACAGTACTCACCTTCAAAGTACATGAAGACACCGTCCTTTCTCCGCCACGGCTTGCGCTGACGGACGATCACGGCGGGCATGACTGCAAGAGCGAAAGCAAGATGTCAAGATTAAGACTGGATATACAATCTAATTCATGAAGTGGAGACCTGAATGCGAAAAGTCCTTTCAGAGATTGAGATCCTTTAAGTCCATAATTTCATGCCCTGGGCTGAGACTCAACCAAGCATTAGCAACACCACTGGAGAATACTGGAGATGGTAAAGCAACAGAGTGTCTGTATCAAAAAGAGAGGGCTCAATGACTAGTCGTCGTGCTGAACCAAACTGCTTGTGCAATTCAAACACCTGCAAATTTGCGAACCGTGCTGAACTTAACTGCTTTTGCAGAACAATTCCCTAAGAATTTGGCCACGCTTCAATTGCCCTTTCCCTTCAGCAAACTTTGAATGACGCCCTCACCAAAATCATCGAATAATAAACCGTTCGTGGCTCATCTTTCCTAAGGAATGCCTGTAATCAATCTGCTGAGACTTTACTCCAAAAATACCAGACACCACGAGGCTGCGCAGGATCACCTACCCTTCTTCCTCAGGTCAGGCTTTCCCTTCTTCACGGTGGCCATGACCATGTCCCCAACAGCTCCTGCTGGCAGCCTGTTCAGGCGGCCCTTGATCCCCTTCACTGAGATGACGTACAGGTTCTTGGCCCCCGTGTTGTCAGCACAGTTCATGACCGCGCCCACTGGCAGAGCCAGGGACATGCGGAACTTGTTGCCAGAGGCACCTCCGCGCCCTACAGGGCGGGCAGAAGCAGCGCTTTGTAGTTGTGGCTCCTTGCAACATAACCTTAGCCCGGCCAATGTGCGTCGCTTGCATCAGTCTTATCCTCTCCAGCTCCTCAAACCTCGCTGGTAATGGTCTTGCAAGCCTCAGAATATGGCCTCTGCTTGGCAAAAGAGCTGAATGACATAACAAAACGTCGGCAAAAGGGCAGCAAAGTCAGCCAGGCAAGAAAGCCACTAATGCGTAGTAGGCTGCAGATTTGTTTTTCTTCAGTCCTCAATGAACTGTTGGAAGTCATTACCTGCTGCGAAAGAGAATAACAAGGTCCCCAGGGAGGAAGGTATCACGCAACCCCTGACCAGGACTTGGAAAGAACCTGCCTAATTGTCACGGGCCTCAGAAAGACACCCACAATCCACCGTCAAACGCACGGCTAGCAATGCCCCCATAACAACTCAAAAACGTAACAACACACAGCTCATCCTCTGTCCCCAATCGTGCTCCAAACTGAGCCTCGCCTGCTCAACAGCCACAACCGACCACACAGACTATTAGACCACAGATCCCAAAAGCTTCGTCATCTCGACCTGCTGATCCCCTGAATACTTCCTCCTTCGAGCTGAATGCCCACCCTGAGCCACTACACGCAGCACAACATGCTCCTCACCTCTCTTCGACATGGCTGCAGGCTACCCCAACTCCAGGCCAAGGGCCGAAATGGGGGCGCTGTTCCAACAAAACGTCCGCCCTGGGATGCGGAAAGAGGAAGTAGGCGAACAGGAAGGTCCAAGTTGGTTGCAGCATCAGGTTTTCACTGTACAGCGTGAGCCCAAGCCGTAACCATGATTAGCATCACGTACACCTTGGCTACCGGGGATACGTACGGTAGGTTTCTATGCTCGGTAATGGTTGGCTAAGCAACATTTACCGTTTGTTGAGGGTGATCTTCCAATTGTAGGTTAGTCGGACCAAAATTTATTAAAGATATTACCTATCATAGTACCGTACCGCCAAAGGAATTCGCACCATCTTTGGTGTGAAAACTTAATTTCGTTCATCCTCCGGGTTCACCCGGCGCCATGAAATAGTTTTTTTAATTTCACACAAGAGTTTTTTTCGTTTTTCTTACACTGAGAAGCAGGAAAATGACCTTTTTCTCGATTATTTTATGGTTTCACCTTTTC